AAAAAGTTTTTACACAATGGACCTATGATGAGGTGTACCTAGTAACCCCTTACTCACCAGCTCTTCCGAAAGCGGGTAAAAACGTGACCCGCCGACTTTCACGTGAAACGGGACTTTCAAACTTGTGCCCGCCTGGATCTGATTCGCCAAAAAACAAAATAAACCAAAATTGTTGTGGAAAACTTGAAGATTATTTCCATGCCTCCATTATAGCGGGCTTAACTCACCCAGTTTTCCATTAGGTGCATGATATCATTGTTAAGGGATTCATCAGTGCTCCATAGCACAAGAGGGGCCAATGATGGAGTCCCTCGAGGTACAGGGAAGTCCACATCAGGATACAGGGAAGACACTTTTGGAGAAACGGATGCGAAGGACGTCCTGTTTTCGACAAGGAAGGCAAGAGATTTAGTATGTAAGTATTTTCTGGAAATTTCATCAAACGAATTCATTCGACAGTGGTTATAGCGAAAATATTTTTTGCTACTCCCCCTATTTTCGGCAAATCACAGTACTCAAGATTTATATCAGAAAGAAGTTGTGTTTTTGTATGGGAACCGTATAGAAAAACACGAATTCTAAATAAGAATAATTCAATGCGACACCGTAGACTGACAGGCACACGTAGTTCAGTCGCTCGTTCCGGAAAACACCAAGAATAACGCCCGCTCCGAAAGACACGCAGTTTATACCACTCTAGAGATAGGAACTGCTTGAGTTTTGGATTGAAGGGCTAAACTGCGTGTCTTACGAGGTGCCCGGCTGAACTGCGTTAGACTTGCCCAGCGAGCAATGATCAATTAATTTACATCAATTTGACATCATTTTGACTTCATTTGACGTCATTTTGACGTCACTTTACGTCATTTGGATGTAATTTTGATTGATGATTGCTCGCTGGGTTGGAACGAGTGACTGAACTGCGTGCCTTTCATTATATGGTGTCGAATAAAAGGTTTGTCAATCTAGTGTTCGCAGAAAACACCAACCTGCCGATGGCGGTCAGCAGGAGACGCAGGGGATCGGCATGGCCGCGCTGTGTGAGGGGGATGTGGACATTGTCGGGCAGCGCGCGCTTCAGGATGGCCTGCAGCAGGCCGTGAGGGGCCACCTCGATCAGGACGGCCTGCGTGGGGATGAACTGGAGCGCCTCTTCGAACAGCACGGGGCTCAGCAGGTTGTTGGTCTGGTACTCGGCCGAGCAGAACTTGGCCAGCTCGCTGTCCTGTAATGAGGCAAAAAACGTCTCTTTATGCTTCTGTTGGTCTTGAAGGGCTAGAAGAGAGGCGGAAGCCTACCCTCTTGTCGACGGGCACCGACGTCGTGAGCCACCTGGGGGAACGGGGCTTAGGCTCCGGGATAACCTCCTTGAGGTGCTGCAGCAGGTGCGGTGCGGCGGGCTGGATGTACCGAGAGTGGTACGCGATGTCGGACACATTGACGGCCCGGGCGAACACGCCCTCGTCGCTGAGCTTCCTGACGAATGAATCCACGTCCTGCGCGGGGCCGGAGAGCGTGCAGCTGGTGGACGAGTTGTGGCAGGCGACGTCGATGGTGGGGGGCAGGCGGGGGAGCACATCCTGGTAGCCGAGTCCTTGGGGCAAGAATCACGAAGTTATTGCGAATGGAGGAAGAAAGGGAGGGCGAGAGTCCAGGAGAAGGTCCTACCGATCGCGGCCATCTTGCCCTTGATGAGCGGGACCGCGCTGGAGGCCTTGCCACGTGCAAACGCGGCCAGGATCGCCTGCTCCTCCGTGAGGCAGCCGTCGGCGTAGGCACAGCCCAGCTCGCCTACGGAGTGGCCCACCATGCCGTCCGGGACGACACCCACGGCCGTGAGCACGTTGGTGAGCGCGATCTGGCAGGCGGTGATGCCCACGAACGACTTGAGGATGTTGTCGAATGCTGTCGGCCCCGTTTCAGTCAGGATGGCCTTGAGGTCCACCCCGCGCGGCTGCAGCACGGCGTGGAGGCGCTCGATGGTCTCGGCGAACACGGGGAGCTTCATGAGCGCCGAGCCCATGCCCGCCCACTGACTGCCCATGCCCGAGTACACGAACCAAACCG